TTTTTTTTTTTTTTTTTTTTTAAAGCGAACCAATTGACTGTAACTTGTAGCATTAATACAAGAGACTACAGGTCATTAGAGTGCTGCAAATTATGAAATACGGGCTCGGTTTATTGAAGATTGTAAATATCCCCCCAGCTCTGCTCTCTCCCTCTCTGCCTTATATTGCTGGCTGCCATTGTGGGGTAGGCCCCAGCTGCGTGTTTACTTCAACATTCTTTTTATTTAAGTGGACTGTTCTCACTAGAGTGTGATTACTCAGCAATAAACTTTATGGCCGGATTTAACTTTAGTCTTTGAATTTCCAGGACTTGAATGAAAGGGTGAAAGGAACTCGGTCTTTCTCTGGGTAGCATTAAGGCCTGATCCTTATCCTCAGAGCTGTTACTTAGGCGAGTGATCTCGGGGCGGGGGGGTGGGTGGGTGGGTGCTAGGGGGGTCAGAACAACTTGTCGGGGGATAGAGAAGAGATTTGAGAATTGCCTCAAAAAAAATTTAAATATATATAGACACACACGCATATATATGTATATAGGAATTAGCTGTGATTATCTCTTTCTCTGCTCAGGTTTGGAGTAGCAGGGATTCAGCAGATCGCATTGTTTTCCTTTATGTGTCATAAAGTCGGGGTTGCAAAAGAACGGGGCGGTTTGATGAGAGCTGGGAGATGGGCTTTGTTTTATTTCGCTGGTGTTATCCCATTTGAATATTGCGGTTTAGGCTTTATCTGCTCCTGCGAGCAAAAGTGAGAGACAGGCACAGGAGTACAGGAGGGCAAGGGTGTTGTGTACCTCTGCAAGGTCCGCACACTGCCCACTGACCCCCTTTTTTAAATGTATTTGCCTTTAACGTTCAAAAAACTGCATTACATAAGGTTGGCTCAGCTCAAAGATCTCCCAGTTTTGCAAATATGAATATTTAGAGTCAACCCCCTGCGTAAAAGATAAATGGAGTCCGAAGCCTTTGTGTCTGTGTATCTTCTATGAACGCTAAACAAACACATATGCATATACTTTATATTAAAAAAATAAGAGCGGCTTTAGAAGTGCATATCCAAATGTACATTTGAAAATCATTTCCGCAATAAACAGCTGGAGATTTTATAGTACGCTAGCTGTCACATTTTCGTCAATAGGAATACCAGAAAATTATATATGATAGGCGTGTATTATATTATATTATATGCCATAAAATTTTACGGTTTGAGGGAAAGGCATGAAAACCCTTTAAAAGTTTGAACTCCATTTATGTTCGAGTCCTTTTCCAAAGAAAATCCTTCGCTTGTAAACGGGAATGATACTAGACACAAACCATTCGCGATTACTCACTATTCAACAACACTGCGATATTTGAATTATCTGGTGAATACACAAACACAGGCACACCCGTTCGACTAATATTTAAGGAACCTGGATATCATCGCGGACAGTAATTTTTCACTGTCTAGAGCGAAAAGATCTGCCACTATATATTTTCACATTTCTGAATGTGGCTTCTGGAGCATATTCCACATTAAGCAGTGTATAGAGATTCAAAAGCTACGGAAAAGAAAAATATCCCCAAACGCCCAAGTATATAAACCCGCCCGTACTGCAAGAAACACTTTAACAACAAAAGAAAGTTATCTAGAAATGACAACTTCTCCATATTTCTGGCCCTGCCCTGTCCTGAGCAGGACAGTTGAAGCCATTCAAATCCAGAAACGCATTAAGATTTTCTAATCCGCTTTGAAATCTGAAATTTAAACAACCCCAGACTGCTGAGCTCTACCAAAATATTCTCAGGTCCTAATTGTTTTCCGAGGGAAAATGTCATGGAGAATAATCGCAGGGAATCAAGAGTGGGGTCTTATCTGCGCACATTATTTTTCTGCTGTGTTTGGGGGATTAATGCGTGCAAGTTTGTTTTACTTTAGGCATGGCAAGTGGCGTTCTGCGATTTGAAATATAGTTTACCTAATCCTTTGAAAGAAATACTTGAGTGTAGTGTGTCATGTCTAAGCGTAAGGCCAATTAAAGATTAGGCAACTCTCTTAATGTGTGTAACTGGTGACTGTGCGAGGCATAACTTTCTCTAAACCAGAAGTAGAACAATCCGATGGAAAGCCATCCGTAAATTACAGCTCTGCAGCCTCGTCTAAGCCCTGCGAACGCCCTAATTGCAGAACATTACGGGGAAATTATTATTCTGCCATTTCCTTACATTTAATAAGTGTGTATCTGTGGAAGGGTGACAATAGAGGGGTTTGCAATCTGCTCCATGGGAAATTGAACGGAACAGATCAGGAGGGGCGGATCAGGAGGTTTCGATTTCAAACCCTGGATACTCGAGCAATTCCTTTTCCCTCCCCGCAAATACAGATTTAACGCATTAAATACAGACACAAGTAAATCTGACCAAGTTAAGACATCGCTTTGCTTTCTTAGCTCTTTCTCTTTTCTGCCCTTAAAATCCCCCCAATTTGTTCCTCGAGTTGCTAGCCAGGGCGCAAAAATACAGCCCAGCCGCCTGGTCATCTTTGAAAATATTACCCCTTTCAAATTAAAGCATCCTCACTAATGTCACTCTGGAAGGCAAATACTCATGGACCATCACAGTCACATGTTCCTGTAGCCACACGCACAAACAATATCAAATCTGACATAGAGAGCGTGTAAAATTTGCAAGGACTTCGCCTTATAGCACGCATAAGGAATCTTTCCTATATCCCCTCCCCCCCCCAAAAAATGTCTTTTCAATAATAATATTTGCTATGAAGGTTATTGGGTAATTATTGCAATTTTGTGGAACAGTCCTTGCTTGAGGTGAAGTCTGTCTCTGGATAACAAATGGCAGCCCGTGCAGTTCACTGCCAGGTTAAGTAAATGCAGAAAAGATAAATCTGCACACCCTAGGAATCACCAGCAGAGCTCGCTTTAGACCAAGTTCACAGTCAACTCGTTTGCCTTAGACAAGGCTTCGCAAACAATTAGAGTTGCTTCTTTATGCTTAAATCAAGGAGAAATGACTAAGACCCTCGCAGCAGAGAGCTGCAGCTTTTCCCCCAACGCTCCTCGCTCCATTCTTTCCAACCTCACGCCCAGAACTTACCCAGCATTTCACCTGCAATTGTAACCATATAGCGCCTTTGAGTAACAGGCTTCCCTCCAACGCTGCCGAAAGGCTGTGCAAACTGATTTAACAGCACTTTACAAAGCCGCGAGATTAAAGAAAAGGAGGAGAAAAAAAAAAAAAAAAGGCAATAATTAAAAATGCAAAAGTATCCGATTTCTCGACAGCAAGAAGAAGGGAAAAAAACAAAACAAAACAAAACAAAAAAAAAGCCCTTAGAAAGCTGGGGGAAACGGCAGAACTATTGAAACAAACAGTGCGAGGCTCTTACTCCTAAAAGAAGCTGCATAGCTTTTGTATATCTTTGTGGTTAAGGGCGTTACAACTGCAGGTCAAAAAGTTGAGGGTCAAAAGTTTACGTTTTGCACCACTCTTAGTCATTCGCCCAGACAGAGTTTGATGTCAATGTTATAGCCGAGATCTTGACTATCAGCACAA